TACGCGAAGCATCAAACATTGTAGCTGGCGTCACGCATCGGAAGAGCAGCAGCAGGGAGGAGCAAGGAGGTCTAAGGAGGAGGAGCAGCGACAGCAACAACCGCGGCAACTCTGGCGTTGCAGCATCGCGCGTACGGGCTAACAGGCCCGCCTCCGGACAGGAACCCAAGCTTCACACGGCTTGGGGCGCGACAGACAGTATCATCATCATCATCATCATCATCATCATCATCATCATCATCATCATCATCATCATCATCATCATCATCATCATCATCATCATAATCATAATCATAATCAAAATTATCATCATCATCATCATCATCATCATCATCATCATCAACATCATCATCATACACATCATACACATCATCATCAGCATCATCACCAGCATCATCATCAACATCCTCACCATCCTCATCATCAACATCAACATCGACATCATCACCATAATCCTTATCCTCCTCCTCCTCCTCCTCATCATCATCATCATCATCATCATTGGCGTCGTCGTCGTCATCGTCGTCGTCACCACCATCCTCGCCATCAACGTAGTCAGCGTCGTCATCATCATCGTCATCATTCTCATCATCCTCCTCGTCGCCCTCCTCCTCCTAACCATCTCGATCATCAATATCGTCCGAATCAGCATCAGCACCAGAACAAGCATGAGCATCGGCGCCATCAACATCGTCATCATCATCATTCTCACCAACATTATCATAATCATTATCATAATCACCATCATCAGCATCATCACCATCACCATCATCATCTTCATCATCATCATACTCATCATTATCATCATAATCGTCGTACTCATCAGCATCATCATCATCATCATCACCACCACCATCATCATCAGTATCATCATGGTCGCCGGCACCACCAGCGTCGGCATCAGAACCACCACCACCATCATCATCATCATCACCATCATTATCACCACCATCAGTATCATCATTATCATTATCACCATGATCTTACCAGCCTGGAACATATTCCTATCCCTATGCTGGGCACCTCCTTATCACGATGCCAATCTCAGGGGTTCCCTTATTTTTGAGGGCGAATCCCTAAGATTGTCATCGCCTTTCGGCGTGTCAATATTAGGGATAGGGATACGTTCGAGGCTGGTAATAATCGCGATCATCATCGCCATCTCTACGGATCGGGGAAGCCCCCCTCCCCCCCCCAGAACAAGGGGGCCAACGGCGCCCGCCTGGGGCGACGGAGCGCGCCCCTTCTGCATGGAGACGGGACCCGCCGCTCACCCACGCGCTTTTGGTCCGTGCTCACTGCCCCTCGACACTAGGAAGCTCCCTCCTCCTCGCCCTCGCCCTCGCCCTCGCCCTCGCCCTCGCCCTCGCCCTCCCTCCCTCCTCCTCCTCCTCCTCCTCCTCCTCCTCGCCCTCCCTCATCCCTCCTTCCTCACCCGTTCTCCTCATCGCCCTCCCTCCTCCTCCTCCTCCTCCTCCTCCTCCTCCTCCTCCTCCTCCTCCTCCTCTGCTTGGTGCCTGAGGCGCAAACAGTGGCCTCCGAACCTCACGTGTCAACAACCACTATCACTCGATCCTAATCGGGGTGGAGGCCTTCGCGGAGATGCCCCTCGACCCGAGCCCCAGGGCTTGCCTGGGAGCGCGCGGAACAAGGGAGGCCCTGAGGAGGAACACGCAGCGGCAGTCTCCCCAGAGGAGGGCGAAAAGGAGCATGAGAGGAGCGAGGAGCCAACAGCGAGGAGGCTGGAGGGAGATTAGGCGGCTGGAGGGAGGATGCAGCAGTAAGATGCCGACGGCGAGGAGGTAGGAGGACGAAGACGGGGAGGAGGAGGACAGGACAGGACAGGACATCCGAAGAAGGGGGTCAACGTCGAAACGCCCACAAAGGAGCTGTGGGGTACGACTTGTGCGAGTTTAGTATGCCGCAGACCCAGACTCCTCATGAGGAGGAGGAGGAGGAGGAGGAGGAGGAGGAGGAGGAGGAGGAGGAGAAGCAGGAGGAGGAGGGGAGGAGGACGGATGGAGTACGCATGAGTTGTGAGAAGAGGAGGAGGGCGGTCCATCAAGCTGTTTCTCCGCAGGACCAGGTAGCGCAAACGTCCGCCAGCGACAATCAAGGGCAGTCTCAAAGTCTCCAGAGACGCCGGTCTCTGGGGAGCAGAAGAGGCACACCCTCTCCTGCAAAACGGTGAGGGGGAACGCCAGGGGGGGCTGTCTCAAGGGGGTGGGGGGAATTGCCGATCGATCGGCGATTGGCCCCCGCCCCGGTAGTAGCGAATTCGCACGGTCCTGGGCGGGTTGGTGCTCAGCGGTGCTATCGGACCCGTGCCGGCGATGACTGGGCGATTGGAGGTCGATGCGCCCCCACCTGAGACCATCTCTCGGGGATGGACAGACCCCCCTTTAGTAAAACGTGGTTTAGTGAAAACGACCTGAAGCCCAAACCTGGCGGGCGCAAGCCTGGAAAATAACGGCCGCGGCGCCATCTCGAGAACCGAAAACGGACAATTCACGAATCGACGTGTCACTGTTGGGGGTTCTGTCCGCCCCCGAATCTCCCTTGACGTTGCCCATGAGAGGGGTGAGAAGAGGGGCGGCAGGACTGAGTACGGCAAGCCGGCACGACAGCGCGGTTCCCGCCTCCCTGGAGTGATGGTCGGGAGCGGCCAAGAGGGGGATGTCCCAGAGGGGGGGGTGCAAATCATGACCGGCGGCATACACCCTGCGAAATGCTTAAGAAGTCATGGGTTAAGAAATTCATAGTCTCAGAACTTGAATAAAAACCCTACATTTCTATTAAAATAGTAGGATTTACGTTGAAACATTAAGAATAATCGAGACTGTGGCCGAAAATTTAGGTTTTCTTAAGCATCGCCTAAGGTGTATGCGCGGCCCAGCGGGGGGGGCCAGGGACGGAATGAAACTAGAAGATGCGCCATGAGATCTGGGGAAATATCATGGTCCCCGCCATGATATCCACCCCCCCTAGTCATCACCACCCTCTTTGCCGCCCCCGAGGTCACGGGGCCCCGAAAGACACAGGCTATGCCGATGATGCTCAAATAATGTGTTTGTGTTAGCGCCAAGGTGAGCTTGTCCACGGAAGCCCTTCAATAGGACGCCGGCGGTGCAACGAGGGCCGACGGCAGCTGCGTCACCGGCGGAGCCAAGGACGAGCGCTTCGTCCCGGAACGCTTCTTGACGGCCCCTGGGGGGCCCAGCGAGGGCCCAGGGCCTGGGGGGGGGGCGGGGACACCAGAAGGTACCGATACCGCTACTCCCCGGACCTCTCGCGGGGTGCGTTCTGACCAGGATTCCGAGGCTACATCGAACCGCATCGCCGATGCATCGGCGATGCGGAGCGATCCTCCGACCCCATCTACTCCGAACCCATCCAGGAGGCCTAGAGCCTCCCCCTCCTCCTCTCCTCCCTCCTCCTCCCCCTCCTCCTCCCCCCCCCCCCCCCTCCCCCTCCCTCTCTCCTCCTCCTCCTTCTCCTCCTCCTCCCCCCTCCTCCTCCTCCTCCTCCTCCTCCTCCCCCTCCTCTTCCTCTGGGAATCGGGCTATCGTCAGTTTTGAGCAAAATCGAGGCCCGTGGGGGGGCAGCGCTCGAGACCCCCACGGGCGCCTCTAAGCATCTGGGCGCTCACCGCGGCGGCAAATTGCGACTGACCCCATCAGCAATCCAAAGAGGCCAAGTGACAACGCGCCGCGAGCTCCCGATTCGGATTTCGAAACACAGATGCACAACAAGATGCATCACGAGGACCCAAGAAACCTCCAAGAGCCCAAGGGCCTAAGGGCCCTCACCCTTGTCCCCATGCCCCGAAGAGCCTTCCAGGAGGCTCAACAGGGCCCAATACAACAACTCAGGCCCCCATGAGATTCCCGAACCAAGATCGGTGGCGGGTTGTTCCGAAGGCCATTAGATATGCAACGCATGCGTAGCCTAGCCCTCATCCTCCTTCTCCTGCTCATCCTAGTCGTACTCCTGATCATCCGTCGCTGTTTTCCCTCGCACCTACTATCCACCTCTGCTCCCCTGTCCTCTTGCGCTGCTCCTTTCCTGGATCGAGAGGGCCGACGCTCGGCCACGGGTTGTTCTGGCTCGCCAGCGGGCGGCCCCTGCCCGAGGCGCCCGCGCACCCCCGCGCAGGCACCGGGCCCAGAGGCAGGCCGCCAGGCAGGCCGCCAGGCAGGCCCCCAGGAGGCGTCCTCGCAGCCCTCACGCGAGGATGTGCCTCATGGCCTACGGGGCGGCGGGGGGGAAGGTGCGGAGGCCAGATCGATTATCCTCAGGGCGTGTGTTAGCCCAAACGTGTGTCTACCCCGTTCGGCTCCGCCGATATTTAACCGCCCGCATCGTGTTGGAGTGCCTCAGTGGACAAACACACGTCGGTGCTAACGCACGTTCTGAGGATCATCGATCAGAAGAGGAACATATACCGATGCCGCTACTTGTCCCTCGTGGTTTCGGCTGGATTCGCTTCGAAATCTCATCAGAACGCACCACTGGAAAGGTCCGCGGAGTTGCGGCATGGGCATCTGCTTCTCGGTTCCCCCAGGAGGCGGAGGGAAGGAAGGGGGCTGGAGGCAGGAACGAAGAGCGGGGAGAGATGCAGGATAGAAACAGGGAGGATGGGGGAAGGGCGTGGCGAGGTGGAGGGCTGAAGGAGGAGGGGAAGGGACGACGGAGGCATCGAGCGGATGAAGGAGGGGGATGGGCGGAGGGCTGGAGGCATAGAGTGGATGGAGGGGAGGAGGATGAGGATGAACGGAGGGCTTCCATCCCCTCTTCCTTCTCTCTCCATCCTGGTGTCTCCTCCCTCCCTCCCTCCCTCCCTCCCTCCTCCACCTCCTCCTCCTCCTCCTCCTCCTCCTCCTCTTTCCACTCATCCCTCATCCTTCTTCTCACCCTCATCCTTCTCCTCGCACCCTCCCTCCCTCCCCTCGTCCTTCCACGATACTTTCTCCCGTTGCATTTGACATTGGTTGGCCCACCTTGCCAAGCGCCTTGCGGGCCTTCTCGTCCTCCTGGACCGCGGCCTTGAACTCCCACGGGAACTTTGGCCTGGTCAGGGGCTCCAGCTCGAGCGGGGCGAACTCCCCGTCGGTGCCCGCAGCCGCCGCCGGGGCCCCCTCCTCGCTCTTCCGCTGCTGAATCGCCAAGAGCTCCGCCCCCGGCCTGATCATCAAGAAGCTGCGGTCCAGCATCACGGCGCCGCCGTCCACCCCAGGCACGTCCTTGATCACCTGCGTGTACGCGCCCACCTTCATGGTCATGGCGCCCTCCTCATGCGCCTTGTCCGCCACGACTGGCACGCTCCAGGCGGGGGCGCTGATGGTGCTGCGGGGGCCCTTGAAGTTAACGTTCGGCACGATGAAGATGTTGAGCTCCTGCTGCTCAATGTGCACGCGGCCTGCTGCGACGCGCGCTCCATCTCCAACGAAGGCGCCAGGGTATATCACCACCCTGCCTGCGAAATGAAGCTTGAGCTTCTCCCCCATGGACCCGCATGCATCACGCGTCCTGTCGAAGTAGAGCTTCACTCCGCCACCGGGCCTACCAGGAAGTCAAGGCCCACATCGAGGAGAGAGATCGGCTTCGGGTGCTGCTCCTTCTCATCGTTCTCGTCGTTCTCGTCCTCGACGACCACCTCCACCTTCTCGGCCGCGGTCTCCACCGCGGCGTCCTCATCCCTCGCTGCAATCACCGCAGGCTCGGTCTTCCCTGCGACCCTCGTCTTGGGCTTCTTCGGCGTCGGCGGCACCGCGGCGGCATCGTCGCCGCCGTTGGAGCCGCCCACTGGTTTGGCAATGGCAGGCCCGCAACCGAACAGCCACTCCTCCATGATGGCATGCGTCAGGTAGCGGCTCGCCTCGTCGCACTTCCACAGGCGGCGCGACATGTCACAAGCCCCCATACCCTTGAAGAGGATGAAGTATTCCTTGCCGTTGATCTCTACCTGAGTGCACTGTTCCAAGGCCACAACCACTGTGTTCTGAGGCTGCGCGGACGTCGTCTCGGCCGTCTCGGCGCCAGCATTGTCGGCATTGTCACCGCGCGGGCTGGACTCAGCATCTGGAGCGGTCAGGGGCAGGGCCACGGCAGAGGCTTTCCTCCGAAGCGCGTCGGCGCCTTCCTCAAAACCCAGGCAGAGTAAGCTCTTCCATGTTTGCAGCGCCGCAAGCTCTTGGGCATCCATCCGTCGGAGCCGCTCCTGAAGCAATAACTGCATAACCATTGACTTGACCAAGGTATCAACACCTTCGGGCACTGCGCCAGGGAACTCAACCTGCAGTGCCTTCACGATGTCGGCCTTCTTCACGCACTCGATCTTGGACTTGACCTGCGCTTCGCGGCTCCTTTGGGCGGTGGCGAAATCACTGCCTCTCGACCTCCAATCGTCCTTGTCGTCCCCCTCCATATTCCTGCTCCCTCCTCTCCCTCCTCCGCATCATCATCTTCTCCTCCCCGGGCTCCTCCCCCTCCTTCTAATACTCCTCCTCCGCTCCCCCCCCTTGGGATTAAAACGCCACCGCGGTCCGCAACATTGCAACGACGGGCTTCTTCACCACTCGGCCCTTCAAGATTTCGGCAATCTCGAACACCCTGAGCCACAATGCCTCGCTGGAGGGGTTCCCGTTCTCTACGCTATCGTACCCGAAAATGTCGGCCTCCACGGCGGCCCCGAACTCGATCCCATTGATGATGTACTGCTTGATGGGCTCGCTGCCGAACTGCGCGTTCTCTGCAATCAGCTTCAATGCCTTCTGAATGTAGAGGAACCTCGTGCGGTGGGTAGCCGCGACGTCGGATTGGTCAGCCCAGAGCTCAGCCACCCATTGGGCCAAGGAGGCGCCGACCGACTGGAGCCGGATGGTCAGCATGGTACTCTCCTTGTCAACTTTGCGCTTCTCATCGGCCCATGCATTTTTGTCCTCGGAGGGCGAAATCAAACACGACGGCCGACCCCAAAACACAAGACAACCGACCAGGGGGGGCAGAAACGAAAGCACCCCAGGACCCAACACTTTCGAAAGGTGTTTAAGCTTAGAGGCGCCATGTTTGATGACGCCCAGTCCTTGTCATCACTTATCTGATCGAGCAACGTCAGAATGTAACCAGACATCCGATACAAGCAAGACGGCGTATGCATATCCAGAACTTTGAAATCATCCGAGACAATAGTTCGACATGTTGCCTGCAGATCGTCTCCTGGGTACACCCTGCCCTTCGAGCGCAAGAGAGTCGAGCTGATCCTGGTCACGACAACGTGTGTCTGCTCGAGGTACGTCAGGTTCTGCAAGGGAGGGTTGTCGGTGAGGAAGTCGGCGACCAGCTTCTTAGTCCTCGTCCGATTCTTGCCGTCGCTGCCGATTGCCATGTTGAGCGAGGCCAAACATGAAGCCATATCAACATCATCTTGATGTGTCGACGCCACACCATCTTTTGCACAGTCGTTTTTATCATCACCCTCGGGTTTGGGCTTCTCCACGAGCTCGCTGTGCACGTCGTAACAGTGATCCATGATGCGAGGGCGCAACATCTTCCACAGTGCGAAGTGTTCCTCCTCAGAGTCTCTGTCGCCGAACTGGAACACAACCTTCCCCTTGTCCGACTGGAGCTTCATCCCCAATAGTACTCCGAACCTCACCATCCGGCGGAGTTCACCAGTATTCCAATGTGAACGATCAATTTTCCGCACTGGGTGGACAACAGCGTTCATCACGTCATCCAGGAACATGGTCGAGCGGACTGTTGATCCCGCTTGCGTGCAATGTGCCACGGCATCTGGCGTGACGGCGGCCTTAGCAGACCCCTTCGGCTTAGCCTTGCCTTTTGCCTTCGGGTTCGCCACCGTCGTCAGCAGACGCTTGGCAGGGCTCGCGGACAACGCATCTTTGAAGATGGAAGAGTCGGCCATCGGAGTGGTCAGCTGCACCAGGCGCTTACAATCAGAAGTCTTCTGCAATATCCAGCGCACGTCGCGGTCCGGGTGGTTCACGTAGTCCACGTCAGTAGCAATCTCTTGCGCGACATCTGCCTCCCCATCGTCATCGTCATCCTTGGGCTGGGGCTCAAAGACGGTCGGCACCGCGTACTTGAGAACCTCGAACATCGCATCGCCAAAGGCCCCGTGGTAGCTGTCCTTGGCCAACACGTCCCCGATCTTGTCGAACACGAGGAACATGGCCTTCGGATTCATGCGACGCTCCTCGAACACCACGAACTCCCCCCACCAGTCCACCAGCCTGTCCCATATCTGCAAAGCGTCGCACCTCTTCTTGAATAAAGCTGCGCGCTTGAAATCCTCAAGCCCGTCGAACATCTCCCTGTAGTTCTCCTTGACGAATCTGTTGTACTTCGCCTCGAAGCCCTTGAAGCGGCTGCCGTTGCCATCGTCACCCTTGTTCCCGGAGCTGCCCGCATCTGCATCGTCCAGCTGCGCGTCATCGGCAGCCCGCTTCTTAGCAGCATCCCGCTCATCCTTGAGGAACTTCACCCAGTGCGCTGCAATCACTGGTGTAATCTCAAGCCTCTCGACGAAGGACGTGGAAGATCCCACTGCGACCATGGAGTTGCACTGGACCTTGATCCAGATCTGCGCGTCTACTGGGATCTGGGGGTTCAACAGCACGATGCGGGGCACCTGGCAGAAAAGTTAAGCTTCCTGTCCCCCCTTCAGGACTGCCCCCCACATCCACATCCCTCTCCCCGAGGAGCCCGAGGAGGGATGGGGATGGGTGGCCATGAGGGCGAGGAGGGGTGGACGGACACGATGACCATCAGGGACGTCGGGGTCACCACCCCTGGAGGTCGAAACCAACATGTTGTTGTAATGTGCGGCCCCATGGGCCCCAGGAGGAGCCCCCTTTCCCCGCCTCCCCTCTCGGCCCCCTCACCCTCCATATTCATCTTTCTCCTCGTTCCTCTGACTCTGACTCGGCGCTCATTTAACCCTTGGCCTCCATCCACCTCCTCCTTCTCCCCTCATCGCCCGACGGCCGACGTGCCCGCCCGCCCCGGGGGGGGTTCTTAATTTGCTGGCAGGGGGGACCTGGTTCGCGATCAGCAGTCGGACCTGCTCGTTGGGCTGCTTCGTGTCCTCCACGTGCTGGATCATATCATGGCACGCTTCGATGAGCGTCGCCCCCCCCCCAGCACGTGGAGCTGCCATTTCCGCGGGTCCAGCTGGTCTGGGACGACCATGATGTCCCCTGCGCGGTCCCCCCAGTTCACCCCCTTCGCCTGGCCGAGCTTTTTGTAATAGCGCCTGGTCGCCCTCTGCTGGCGGTTGTTGATCTTGTGCCGCACGAACACTCTGGCCCCGTCCTCGTGAAAAAATGGCTGAGTCGTTCCTGGCCACGGGAGGACGTAGTCAGCATTGAACTGCAGAGGGTGGCTCTGGCGCTTTCAGCCGACCGATGTCACGGTGGCGGCCATCTGAACATGTTTCGCTACCTGGAATTTTGGGATGCGTTTCAGTCCGAGTATCTTGATCCAAGCCCGCAGCGCGTGAACCATCACACTTGGAATGAGAAGTCGGCTTAGCCCAAGAGGGCTCCAGAGAACTGGAATGTGAAACGCCTGAATCTGAATATCTCAGGCACGACGTGGGTGGATCAAGAAACGTGGAATGCGGGAAACGCCTCAGTCCAGTACCGTGCCCTGGAATGTGAACTCAGTCCGAGCATCTTGACACATGCCCGCACTGGGTGGATCAAGATTCCTCGAATGTGAACAAGCCTCAGTCCGAGTATCTTGATCCAAGCCTCCAAGCCCGCATACTGAGAAGGCGAAACGGCTTCAAATGTTCAGACGGCCATAACCATGATATCGGCAGCGGTTGGGTTGGGCATTTGGGGGCCTCCTCTGGGCTGGGTGGCTTTCGATGGCTTCTGCTGCGTTTCAGGGCCAGGGTCATCTGCGAAATAGCTTGGCGCCTCCCAGGGGTCTCAGGGCCAGCTCAGAACCGCGAAAACAACATTCAGATGACCGCGTCCGTTTGAACGCGCGCTGGCCCTTCATGGGTCCGTCTCGGACCCGTTCCAGAGCCAACTGAAATTGATTGGAGCCTCTTGGGGTCCTCGTCAGGGCCTCGCAACCGACACCTCATGTGCTGTCTGGCATCATCCAGAGCAGCCGCGCGGGGCCGCCTCTCCTCGATCCCGGCCCCTTTGCTTGGCTCGCACCAGAGCCCACCCCTGGGCCGCCCAATGGCGGCGCCTGCGCGCGCAGCGCGGCGCCCTCCTTGCCCGGGTGGCGGTTCTCGTAGCTGGAGAAGCCGCCGTCGAAGGCGCCGGGCGACCCCAGCTGGTCAATGGCCCCAGCCTATCGGGAGAGGAGGGGGGGGCCAACCTGGTAGTGGGCAGAAGCTTTACTTGCGCAGAAGGCCAACACAAGCCATTTAAGCAAGAAAGGAATGCAAATTCCTAATGTCGGCCCGTAAACACCAACCATATGCAGCAATGAGTACCGCGTTGTGGTACCGCTCTCGGTGGAACCCTCTATGGGGCCACGATCCTCGTAAAGGGTGTGCCGAAATGGGCGGGGGGGCGCATGCAAACCCTGCTGCTGGGGCCTTTGGTGGAGGTGGAGCTCCCTATGGAGCCACGATCCTCGTGAAGAGTGCCCAAATGAGTGGGGAGACGCATGCAATCCCTGCCGCTGGGGCCTTCGTTGGAGCTCTGAGCTCCCTATGGGGCAACGATCCTCGTGGTGGGTGTGCCACAATGGGCGGGGGGGCCAATGCAAACCCTGCCGCCGGGGCTTTCGGTGGAGCTACGTATGGGGCCGCAATCCTCGGGAGGGGTGCGCCGACATGGGTGGGGGGGCACATGCAAACCTTGCCGCTGGGGCCTTCGGTGGAGCTCCCCGTGGGGCCACGATCCTCGCGAGGGGTGTGCCGACATGGGCGGGGGGGCGCATGCAATCCCTGCCGCTGGGGCCTTCGGTGGAGCTCCCTATGGGGCCGCGATCCTCGTGAGGCTCGTGAGGGGTGCGCCGACATGGTGGAAATGCGGCGAGCAGAAGCAGGAGTGGGAGAAGGGAAGAGGGGGAGGAGAGGAGGGAGGGGGCAGCGGGGGGAGGAGGAGGTGAAGCGCGTTTTTTTTTGTTTCCCCCCCAAAAAAAAAAACGAAGACCCAACGCCACAGCATGGTCAAGGTTGGGAAACTCTCTTGCCACCTGAAACCTTTTGAGGCCAACCACCTGGTAGTGGGCAAGAGCTGGACCAAGGGATCACGGCAGTAAGTAAAGGGTGCGATGTGGAATGTCTGCGCCTTGACGTTCGAGCTCGCGCGGAGCCCCCAAGAGGCGGGTCAGCAACCGATCAAACGTTCGCTAGCGGACGTTTGAAGACTGACCCGCCTCGAGGAAGGACAGCGCTTGCTCAAACGTCGGGCGTGTCACTTCGACATTGGAAGTCCAAAAGCGTGGCCTCCTCCACCTCAGCACCTCCACCTCCACCCCCGTCTCCCGCAGCCTTGAGGCTGGCGGTCAGCGCGGCGATCGGGCCCGACGACGTCGAGGCCGCCGCAGCTGCGTCGCGGCCGAGACCTGGCGGGCGGGGGACTCCAGCAACGAGCAGGGGCCGAGAAGGGCAGCACGCATCAGCGGCGAAGGGGGACGAGGATGACGAGGATCAGGAGACGGACGAGAGGAAGGGATAGATGTCGGGAAGGAGGAGGAGGAGGAAGAAGAGGGAGAAAAGGAGAAGGAGAGGAGAGGAGGAGGAGCGATGACAGATGGAAGAGGAGACGGAGGAGAAGTAAGGAGAGATGAGAGATAGAGGAGGAGCTTGCAGGAAAAAGGAGGGGAGGAGAGGAGGGTAGGAGTAGGGATGCACAGCCGGCGCAGCCGACTGATGGAAACGCGTTGAAGGAGGGCTGGATAGAGGTGCACTTTCCTTGTCAGTTGCCCAGGCGGGGGGCCAGCCGACTTGTCTGACTTGTCTAGACTCGGACGCGCGATCCGAAAGCCGAGCGCAGGGCAGCCAGCAGACCTGTACTGCCCGCCAGCCAGCTCCAAGCGAAGCGCTATCCTCCTATCCTCCCTATCGCCGCCCTCCTCCGCTCTCCTTCTCCCACCCGCCGCCCTCCTCCGATTCGTATCGGCATTTCTCCATCCACTCACCTCCTCACTGGCGGGCCTCGTCCACGTTTGGGACCGAGGGCTCACTCACAAGGACCTCTGGCGCTTGATCGCCCGAGCGCGCTTCCTGGCGACTTCGGCAGCTGCCTCGGCCTCCTCTGAAACCAAAGCAGGGGTCAGTGCAGAGTCGATGCGCGGGCAAGGGGCAGCCGGGAATGCGATGTCACCAGACTGCTCAGGCACGTGCACTACCAGCAACCATCGATAACGATACACAATGGCGAACACAACTGACCCGATAGAATTAACGTGCATTGCATTGCCTAGCTCGCAGAGCATAGAGTTCCGCGTGCGATAAGGAAAAGAGTTGGTAGAAACCCTGGTGAATTGGCAGTCGGCACCGTGATACATCCTAACAGCTTCTGGGGTCACTGGGAAGCCCATCGACAAAAACGTCTCGAGTGGCGTCAACCACCTCTCGAGCTCAGCCATCCACGTGATCCCCATCCCCCTGCGCAGGGTATGTAAGGGGCCCGTGACTGAGCTGTTCACTTGCTTCTTGATGGTTTGCCCCAGATCCCAATTGCGGCCAGGCAGCTGCTTCGAGAACTGTTCGAGCCGCTCGCGTTCGGTCAAAGTCAAAGCGTACTTCCACGAGCCGTGCGGGTCGTTGAACTTGTCGCCTGCTCGGTGCCTCGCTTTCACGTCTGTTCTCGAAACCGCCCATTCGTACTCTTCTGCCAATTCCTCCTCTGAGCTCACGCAGTACGACGAAGGTGAGTACCCGCAGCCTCGAGCGATGCAGCGGTCGATGAACTCTTGCATGGACATGTGGGGTCCCCGGGGAGGCGGCACATTCAAGCCCTCGAGGGGGCCCACCACGAACTGGCGAGGCCGGCGCGTGCTCCAGCCTTGGTCGCAGGCGTTGAGAGCCACGCGTTCGAGGGAGTAGTGTCCCCCGAGAGCCCGCCGGTACTCGTCATCGCCTTGCTGCGGAACGCACTCGAAGATCACCGTGGGTTCCTCGGGTCGGCGGTTGAAAGACGTGGCCCTGAGGGATGGTCTAAGAACGAAGGGCCTTTAATCATGTAAATCTATCCTGAGGCCTAACCCTGGGGCCCCATCCCTCAGGGCCCACATCTTTGAACAGCCGACCGAAATTACCAGAGGGAGGAGCACTAGGGGCAAGGGGGAGAACGGGGAGTCTAAGGTCACGGGGCCCAGGGGCAGGAGAGGGGGAGGGGGCTCGCCCAAAGAGCAGGTTCAGTCGCAATGGTATTTGGCGCCCTTTTTGAGTCAGCCAGTCCAAGAGATCGAGTCGCTGCCGCAATCCTATCCATAGTACATTGTAGCCTTCTCCTTCTCGAGAGCCGTGGCTGCCGAAAGTGGAGTCATGCACGCATGGAAACCCACTGCAATGGACATGGGTGCGAGATGAACTGCAGTACCCCCCGCATTTCAAACACCAGAGCCTCTTGGTCCGAGTTGGGTTTGATAGAATCAATCGTCTCCTGGCGTCGACATCTGTCAGCGGGAGCTTTGCCGGCTGGTCTCGCA